ATGTAACCAACTATTTCTTCCTTTATAATGCAATTAACTAGATCTTCTCCCTTTTGTATTGCTTCATAGAAAATCTTATATTCTTTTTCTATAAATGCAAGTTTTGTGTATTCTAGTTCTCCTCTGTTATACTGCTGTAATTCTTTATAGAGCCTTTCTATTTGCAGCTTAGCTATTTCTTTTGAGATAGGTTCTTATTCTATATATTCTGTCATTATTTCCTTTACTGTCATGTCTATTATTTCATTAGTTATTGCTGCTAACAAGTTTTGAATATCCTCTAATACTGCTTTAAGTTTCAAATCTGCTTCTTCTTTTATGATAGATTTTTTTCTAGAATATTCTGCTAACTTTTGCTTCACATGACTTGTTATTTTTCTTTTGTTGTTGCTTGTTGTTGTTATTTGGTATAGTTGTTTACCTCTATTGTTTACTTTTATCACATAGTTTTTAGTGTATTTTTTTTGTTTACTTTTCATTATGTATTGTAATTTTTATACTACCAAAACAGATCTGTAATTCAGTATCAAGGCCAATTCTCTAAAAATTCACAAAGAGCAAAAAAATATTGTAAGTTTTTCACAGCTTCTTCTATTTCTTTGCTGTTACTGTTCTTATTACTCAAGTCTCTTAAAAGACTGAATGTTTCTTATTGTTCTCTTCCTCTTAACTTAAGGCTCTGAGTTTGGTTTCTTAATAATCTTTGTGTATTTCTTATGAATTTTTATTAAATTTTATTTTTCGAAAATTTGTGTTTTGATAATCAGTGAAAAAGTTGTATAATATATTTGAATAGTGCTATTTGTATTTCTTTTTTTTGTTTTCTTTTTTCTTTATTATTTGTTTTATTTAGTTTTATTAGTTTAGGTAAATCAGAATTTAATGTTAAGGTATTTTCTAATTTTTGTTTTGCTTTTTATATTTATGTTTGTGCTTTATTTTGTAAAAAGAAAAGCTAATTTTGATATGGTGTATAGCATCAATACATAATCAAAAGATTTCTTTTAATAAATTAGAGGCCTAAAGAGAGGCTTGAAGTCTACTAAAACAAATCATATCTGGCAAAAGTGTGAGTAAGCTACTTTATAATGAATTAGTATAGCTAGTATTAAGAAATATAAATTTCTTAGTATAGTTTAATCTCTAATAAAAAGTAACAAGACTGTCAAATTATAAAAAAAATAAAAATCAAGTTATCAATTATATTATATTTTTTTTTTATAATTTGGCAGTCCTGCTACTTTTTATTTGCAGATTAAACTATACTAAGAAATTTATATTCTCTAATAGTAGTTATACTAATCTATCTGTAAAGTAGCTTACCCATGCTTTTGCTAGATATAACTTGCCTTAGTGGACTTCAAGCCTTTCTCTGAGCTCTAACTTACTAGAAGTTATCCTTTGGTCATAAGCTGGTGCTAAACACCATATCTAAATTAACTTTCTTTCTTTTTAAAATAAAGTACAAACACAAATACAAAGGGTATAAAAAAAATAGAAAAATACTACGATATTGAGTTTTGGTCTACCTAAACCAATAAAACTAAATAAAATAAATAATGTAAAAAAGAAAACAAAAAAAAAGAAAACAAAGATAGCATTAAATTCGTGCAAGATTATAAAAATTATATAGTACTACAAATAAACTAGACTAAACTCTATACTAATTATTTATGTCTATATCCAGAATGTAAAAATATTAAAATCATTCAGTTTTGAAGTAGAACTCCAAGGGTCAAACTTCTAATTGCTATTCCAACTTGTCAATACATCTTCTGCAATGTTTTAAATATTATTACATTATTTTACATTATAACTAAAAGTAGATATATATGTGTGTAAGTGTTTTTTCTTTTTTAGCAACATTTGTTATTGTTGATCTTTTGATGAGGGTATGCTGTTTTTCCCACTTTTTGGAGAAATTTTATAAAGGCCAAAAGTGGAGTATGGAAGAGAGTTTCAGTTTGCAAGTAACCTTAAACTTTAATAAAAAATATAGTGAAAACTCACTTGTTGTTTCTCTTAGACCAACTATTTTTAACTTCGTCAACAGAAGCAGAGCTTCTATTAAAATTTTCTGTACAAGGACACCACCTTTTTGCCAATTATCTTGTATAGAAATGCTTTTAACTTGCATATTGAATATATAAAGAAGTTTGAGAGAATAGAGAAAGCCTTGACCTCTGTAAAAACTATTATTTGTAGTTGTCCCTTCTACTTTTCTCTAATAAGTTTCTGTTTTTGTTAGCCATAAGTTTGGTATGAGTAATCATTGAAGAGAGTTGTATGAATAAAAGTTGTAAAATGCCAATTATATTATATAATTTTTATAAACTAACTAATAAATTTATTAATTTGTATGAATATCTAAATATTATAAATAATTTAATTTTTAAAGCATTCAAATAATTAGTATAAACAATGATATAGTAAAATAAAACAATTATTAGAAGAAGAAACAACAAGTAATAATACTATAATATTTGTTTTTATATTTGAAAAGAGAGATAGTAGAGAAAGATGAGTGAATTAGATAAGTAGTTAAAAAAAAAGATATTTTTAGAATAAATTTTAATATAAATACAAAAAAAATATTCTAATAGCTTTGCTATGTTAATTAATTTAAAAGAAAAAAAATATTATAAAAATATTAAATGAATTTAATACTAAAGCTTTAGAATTAACAAAAATCATCAAGAGATTATACTATAAGCTTACAACTTCATTCTTAAAACCAACAAATATCTCAAAATTAGCAAACATTTATACATCAGAATTAACAAACATCTATGCATCAGAATTATATCTCAAAACTACAAATAAAAAGGAACAAATGATACTAGTAAAAAATAATCATTATAATCAAGTAATAAATACTAAAAAAAGATAAAGAAGCATCAGTGCTGATTGCAAATAACAAAGACTATAAAGTATTATAGCAAATTATAAATACTGTTATTAATCAATTTCCTAAAATCAGCAATAATTAGTTCAAAATAAATTGTTTTGTTCAATAAAATATTTAATTAATCTATTTGTCTAGCCAATTACTAAATTGTTTTATTCAGCTAATTACAATTTAAAAAGTACACTAATTACAATTTACAAAGTACATTAATTACAATTTACAATTACGTTAATTACTGTTTAAAAGTATTCGCACGGGTCTATGTAAAAATCATGTGAATTTGAAATCACATGATTTTAATAGATCCGTGCGAGTGTCCAGGATTATGATCCGGCATAATATGCGATTTTTACTACACAGTGGCTCTCGATATAACGGAGGCCATGATTCCAGTTCTTTGCTCTGTTATATCAAAAGCTCCGTTATATCAAAATCTCATGATATATAAGATATTATCGTAAATCATAATTTGGTTCCATTATAATTCTCCGTATTAAGCAATTTCCGTTATATCGATGGTCCGTTATATCGAGAGCCACTGTGTATATGAAATCGCTCACTTTCATGCAACATGTGAACAAAAATTGATTGGTCAAATGAATAAACCGGTTTGTCCCTGTGACTGCAATCACCTGACTTGTCTTTTTGAAATTTTATTGGCTAATAACTCAAAATTCGCATTAATTCGCATACCCTAACCCGACGTTCAAAAAAAGCACGGGTTGTTACATTAGACCCGTATGATGAATCGGTTTTATTATACTGAATATACAAGCCGATTGAGCCGTTTTGCATCGCTAAGCTGCTTGAAAACACCATAAGAGCAAACCAATTTTTTCTATATCAAACTGGTCTTCTTAAGTCTAACTGTGGTCTATTAGTCTAATATAGCATCCCTAAGAGCTAATCATATTGTACCTGAAGTTGCACTTGCCTAAAATTGTTAATTAATACATGCAAGAAAATATAATTTCAGGTGCCAATTTCGGTCAGGTGAAATTTAAAGGTATCAAATTCACGACAATATCTAATTTAGTTTAGTGGTTATTTTGATTCCCCAAATGCACTGTCCTGACAGTGCACTTAAGGAATTGCGCACGGACATTCCCGATATGATATTATAATCCACACGATCATATGGGTCAGTACACAGCAAAAGGGGGCTTCGGAACGAATTTTTTATTTGTAGATATCAATATTTAATCAATTAAAAGTTTAAATATAATATATAGATAAAAAAATACTGCGTATAAAATTGTACAAAATTTTATTATGCTAATGCAAGCTAAAAAATTTCCTCACGATTTCTGGATAGAGAGCAATTGCTATCAATATAACATATCCCAAGAAAAGTTAATAGTTTCAATTCTGCTCAATGGAATAAACAAACACTATACAGATATTATATAAATACCCTAATTATGGGCGAATTCATCATATTTCTACTGTGAATAAATCACATATTTAGAAATATAATCCGATAAAAATCTCGACCTTGACCAAAATGTCTCTAAACCTCGTTTTGCTGTGTACTGACCCATATGGTGTTGGAAGTTTATGCTCGACAATAACATAACTTGCCGACCGAGATCAATCTACAACGGGCAGTTAGATGCCTATTATATGATTGATTTATTAAAAAGCAACAACTTTATAGAAATAATATCATAAATAACCAACTGGTAACATTATTCTTCGTGATAAGCACTACAAAGTTATTGGACAATTGTTGAAATATTACATTTCCAAAAAGTTCTTTCCTTCATGCATTCAAACACGCGACTACGAAATAAAGAAATATTACATTTCCAAAAGTCCTTGCTTTCATGCACTCAGACACGCGACTACGAAATAAAGAAATTGGCACTTAGTTTTTATGCCTTTAGAATGTATAAAAAATATCACTGAAGCAATTTTAGATAGCTGGACACACTACTCTTATTTCAGGAAACCTACAGCTAGCATCTTCACTATCGTCTTTATCGTAAGCTTATTTTTAAGCATCAGCAAATCAACCATGTGTATGACTATAATGATTCATATTAAATCAAAATATAGTTAGTGTATTTCCTAAATATATACGAACATTTAAATGGGTCTAGCTATATACTTTATGATAAACATACAGTCAACCCGAACATGGATAATCCGAACCCTTAATAAAACTCTGTAAAAACCGAATACAAGCTTCAGAAAATTTTATTATAAAGTTCAGATTAGCAACATAGTAACTCTTTGAAAGCTGGACTTTTTGATATTTTTACATATAAAGACGGACTGTTCGGAATAGAGAGTTGACTGTATAATAAAGCTAAATATGTATTTAATGTTGAATTTTTATTATAGTTGACTGTATATGAAAATCGAGTATCTGTAATTCATTTCTATTAGAAAAGCTTAACGATAAGAATTATAAATTCACATTTTCATATGATCCGATGATCATTTCCTATGGCCTGACAACAAATGCCATAATCGGAAACATTTATAGTCTGTTAGTAATGCAAAACATGCTTATATTACGCCAAAGTAGTGTAACGGTCAAATCTTGCAAAACCGGAACTTTAGCCTTATACTTGGGAGTCGGAGTTTTGTTTGTTACGCCAATATTTTGTTTTCATTGGCTACGAACCTATACGGAGGGTCCGGATTTGCAGGACATAGATAAGTGTATGACTCTATCGCTATGGATATAGACTTTTAAAACTTATGTTAGCTCGACATAGAAGTGTGGCTCGCTATAGAGATTTTAGTGCAGTATTTCAATATAACTGTTTTGCTTCAAGGCTTGATCCAAGTGGACGCGCATAAAAAGTGCATACACATAACTCAGTGAAATGGTAAAATAACGTAATGTTAGTGATTTTTTACATATAACTCAATTTATCATTACGCAATTGATAAAAATATCCAGAATTGGATAATATTCCAGTGACCAATAAAAATGGGTTAATTTTTAGAAATGAGATTCATTTTTTTGTACTTAATGGACTGATCTTTTTAATTATCCGATACTGCTTCTTTTTTTTTCTTAAAAAAAACAACACATCCTTTTCTTTCGAAAAAAAATGATTGTCCTTTCAAAATATAATGAAACCTCTCAAAATAACAGTCCTGGTGGTGTCCTGACTTACACCTATAGATGGAAAATAACCAACTGGACTGAAGTTAGGCCTTTCATGGAGCATACTAGCCCCTCTTTTAATGCTGATGGTCTGCATTGGTATGTATAGCCTGCTTTATTTTTGCAAAAACTAATTACAGCATCTTGAATTGACTACTGGGTTTTAAGGGTTTTTAAGGTATTAGGCTGAGCCTATTCTTCGATAATGTAATTTAAAAGGGTTATTCCAATTTATTTTTTATGCAATGTTCGTAATTCTCTTAAATGATTACAATTATTATTACAAGTTCTACAAAGGAAGACAAAAGAATCCGCAGGTACTTTATAACTTAATAATTGACTATAATTTAATATACTCCTACCTTTTTTTCACTGTTGATATTATTTGAACTGTTTCTTTTGATAAGGCCCTGTCTTTGTATTTAGGTATCGTGGAGACAACACCAGGATGTCTTCAAGGCATTCGTAAGAAAGTCAGTATTATTTTCGTATTGGAAAATTTGAGAACAAGAGGAATGGATTTTGGAAAGAGTATGTTTAAATTAATACCTTTTTTATTTATTTATTTATTTATTTATTTTTTAGCATTCTTTTATGTTGTTATTAATTAATTTATTGCATTCCCATTATTTTTATTAGTGGAGCTGCCCGTTTGGTTCTGTGATAGTATGCATGTTTTGAATTATTATACTTTTTTTCTTATCTACTTTGCAATATATTTATTGATATTGAATTTACAGAACATTCTACTTGGGGAGAAGAAAATCTTATGTCTTTAGATGAAATGGATAGGTAAATATTTTATAAACTGCTTATTTGTGTTGTATATAACCATATTTTCTAAAGTCTTATAAAAAACCAATTTTTATAGATTTATCAGTAATGATACCGTTTCCCTTTGTGTCAAATTTGAAATTCAAGAATCTATCATAGATGCATTACCCGAAATTGTCAATCCTTTTAATAAGCTAGTTAACTCTCCAAAATTTTCTGATATAACTTTCCGTGTAACTGATGATTATGGACGAGATAAGTTATTTTATGCTCATAAGGGAATTCTTGCTAGTTCATCACCAGTATTCGAAGCAATGTTGACAAATGGAATGAGAGAGACTTTTGAAGATGAAATTCACTTAAGCCAAACAAATCATTCAGCTTTTCTTGCTTTACTCACTTTTATATATACTTTTAAAGTCAATAACACTTCATTGAACAATGCTGAAAATTTATTAGCTTTGGCCGATAAATTTGCTATTATCCCCGTTCGGGAAGAATGTTTACGTTATTTCCGCTTGGAAATGAATACTGAGAATGTATGGGGAATTTGGGCAATTGCTGGTATGTTTTTACACTGGTGCGTGCTGTATTTTTTTTTTATATTCTTATCTATATATTAACTTTTAGTCTTTATAAGAAAAATTTTCATGTGCTAAAACCTCAACTACATGTCGGGATTTTGTTGCTCTTAATCTGGATACTCTATTGGATAAGCAATCGACACTTTGTGCTGATCCAAACATTCTCTGCCTCGCTCTCGAAAATGATGAAGCTAATGTAACTTCTGAAGAAAAGATTTATGAACTTGTTGTTCGATGGGCAAATTATTCATGCACCAATGATTCATCCAGTAAATTATCAACTAGAAAAACTTCTTCCAAGAGCATAAAAGTTGATGCTTTATCATCTACTCCATCCTCCTCATCATCTGCTTCCATGCTTTCAGAACTTCCAAAAGATGCCGGTGATTCCAGTCAATTATCTGAAGGCAAAGAATCTGTGGATCAGGATTTTAGCGATAATGAAACAATGGACGATGATGATGATGATGATGAGACTGAAGATGCTCATAAGTTTCCAAAACCTTGGAAAGGTGACAGATTGGCAGCTCTTCCATCTTTGCTAAAATGTGTTCGATTCCCAGTGATGCAAAAACGTTATATTGTTGAAAAAGTTGAGGGAAATGCAACTGTTATGTCCGCCGAAATTATGAAAGATCTTGTGAGTGAATTTTATTTATATCGTTCGACCTAATAAGTTTATCGCGTATTAATTGTTTGTTTATTCTATTAGATAATTGAAGCTTATCGATTTCATTTAATGCCTGATGTGTCTATTCATCCTACTAATAGGACCAAACTTCGCAAAAAAAAGACAAAAATTACTGATTAAATGAATTTATATTTAGGTTTAAACACTAGATTAGTAGCTTTCATAAATTTGTATATAGTTATGGTATTGTTATATGAACATTCTTATAATTGAAAATAAAACATTGTAGACTAGTTAAATATATTGAACAATTTGACTAATCTTTGATTAACAAATCTCTAGACGTTAATATTTATATAATACGGTCAAACCTGTATAAATGAATACTGTTTAAATGAATATCCTGTATAAATGAATACAAATTTGAGAACCAAGTTGGTTATTAAGGCTAATTGCATAAACTGCTTAACTGAATAATGCATAAAGTTTTTAATTTTTTATTAATAAAAGTTTTATAAAAGTTATTCTATCTCACAAATTTTAGAATTTGATTGTTTAAAATTATAACATATAAAAATTTTATTAATATTTTTTAATATAATTTGATTTTTGTAAATGAATATCCTGTCTAAATGAATACAAAATTGGTCCACCGACCATATTCATTTAGACAGGTTTGACTGTATAGAGTTATTTGAAAAATACAACATTATCTAGCCGTGAAATTTAATATGCCAGCTTCTGGACCCCTTCGGGGCCTAGAAGCTGACATATTAATTCGCTGCCTAACAAATAAGTAATTGGAGCTATTGGCTGCGTAACATTCAATAACAGTATTATCCAGATAGTTACGACGACCGAACCATCGAGTTATTTTGATGATTGCGTCATTATCAAATAACGAAGTTATTTGCAATCATCACCAGAATAACTCGAGTTATTCTGTTGATCATAGTAGCTGTCGGATAATATGGGCTGTGTTCTGAGAAAGGGGCCAAATTAACAAAAAAAAAGTTTTGCGGAAATTTGATTATTATCTAAAGAAAATACAAACTTTAAAGAGTTATTCTGCAAAATTTTATTAAGTTAACAGAATTTGTTTCTTAAGTAAAAAATGATTCTGGATTAGTTAAGCTTAAAAAAATTTTTTTGTAAAATTGTCAATTTGGTTCCTTCTCTCAGAACACAGCTCATATATATTATTTGAAGGAATTTTAGATATAATTTCGAGTCTTCCGAATAAAACCTTTGTTTTTAATAAAAAGAACTTTGTAAAATGAATAATATACTGTAGTTTTACTTAGGGTTGTTAATGGGTTGGGTTGGGTTGGTTTGGGTTGACCCAATCTTCAACCCACTCCACTAAATTAGACCTA